TCAGCCAGTGCAGCAGGTCCCAATGGCTACAGTAATGGACTTAAAGATTGTAGGTACCGTGGTAGGATTGGCACCAGTGGGCATGTGTATAGAAGCTGCCACGATTGCAATCTGCGAGTCTTTGTTTAGAACACCCTGCATAATGAAATTGAACCTGCCCTTCCCGCTTATTATAGTAAGGGCATTTTTCTGTTCAATTTCCAGGGTGTCTTCAAGGGAGGTAGCCATGTCTTCTTGAGCCTGTGGCCCTCAGAGGTTCTGCTTTTCCAGGACTCCTCCCTGTCTCCTGGCTAGTTACCACATATTACCACTGGGCTCCCAGTCTCTGAGGGCCTAAGAGAGGCTCTCTTGAGAGTCCAGGGAAACAGCCCGGGAGTTACCTATCCTTGGTTTCATCCTTCCCTGGTTCTCCCTCTCTGGTCCATAATTTCCCTGGTGCCAGCTTCTTTTCCACCTGGGGCATCCTCATCCATGGGGTCTCTGCTGCAGATGGCAGTGTCAGCTTCCAATAGGTCACTGGCAATGCCAATGGGGTCTCTGCAAGACCCTAAGTTTAAGTGAAGGCAGTGATTCTGCCTTCATTCTGGTTTTCCCAGAGCCCTTAGGTCACCACCCTTAGGGAAAGGAGGCCTACAGTTGTCATAGTTTAATTCCATTCCTTTAAGTCTGGAATGTTAAACTAAGCAGAACTATCATCTTGCTTCCCAGTTTAAAAGCCTCTGGCCCTGGAACAAGCCTTTTCAAGAAGTGAATCATTTTGCTTTACACAATAGATCTGTTCCGACAGTTCTGTGTAAACCAAATGCTATTTTTTGATGCATTTGGACTGCTGGTCATTTAAAAGCAGCCTATGATTGCTTCTTTTGTAAAGCAAGCAACCTCCCTCTACTTTAGCTGGTTTCGTTATCTGGGTTTTCACATTTGGGCTTTCCCAGAGTGGAGCACACCTCCGGGGCTTGTGGCTGACTAGACGTCTGCATCTGTGCTGCGTGTGTGGTGTGGCTGGCCGGTAGGTGAGTATTATTGCGTGTGTGAGTGAAGCCACTCCCAGGCTGATGCTCTCCTCCTGTGCCCGGTGACTGCCCAGTGGCAGCCCTAGCTGCCCTTCATTCCCACCTGCTGCCAAAGTCCCTGTGCTAATGGGATTATAGAAACAAAAAGTGGAAAAAAATTTTTCGTAAACTTTGTTTTATATTAAAAATTCCATAAGTCTGTGTGTGTTAAAACATGAGGTTCTGCCTCTGTGGCTGTGTTTGAAAAAATAAAGTTTTATTAGAATAATCCATTTTCCCAAGCAACCTCGTGTACTATAGTGTCTTTTTCCCTTACGTGTGCATACACACACACACACACACACACACACACACACACACACACACACAGGGAGAGAGAGAGTAAGAGGAAGAAACTGAACGATGCTTGACTTCCCAATCCTTTTAAGGCATGACCAGCCCCCACAAAAGGACTGTATCTGGTCCCTAGACCCTTCTATGATCAGACCCTGTTGCCTGGAATTCTGTTCACATGGCTTGGTTCCAGTTTTCCTGGTACTTACATGTGTTGTCTGCCATCACTCTCATTTCCAGCTGGTTAAAAGCAAGTACTAATACATTCCAATTCCCTGAGATATGGCTGATGGGCACTTAGACACTTGACTAGGTTAATTCATTGTCTTTGAATGGTGAGAGAACAGAAAAGAATCCCTTCGTAAGTTTTCACGTAATATTCTGGAGAGAGAGATTTAGTCCTCAGAACTCAGATTCCAAGATCTGGGTAACTTTTCCATCTTAAAAATCCTGTTTGCAAAATTATCCTAACAGCAAAGCTCTTTTGTCCTAGAAAAGGACATGTTCCTTAAAATTTCTGTTGTTGGCCGGGCGATGGTGGCGCACGCCTTTAATCCCAGCACTCGGGAGGCAGAGGTGGGCGGATCTCTGTGAGTTCGAGACCAGCCTGGTCTAGAGAGCTAGTTCCAGGACAGGCTCCAAAGCCACAGAGAAACCCTGTCTCGAAAAACCAAAAAAAAAAAAAAAAAAAAAAAAAAAAAAAAAAAAATTTCTGTTGTTGCCTAAAAAAAAAAAAAAAAAAGGTGTTGTTGAAGTCTTTGCTTTTATATTCCACCCTTCTCCTTATGTTAACATTTTTTAATGTGTATGGATGAAATACAGCTACTTTAGCTAAGCAAGGGCCTCTGCCTTTCCTTACCAGGCTGAATGGAGAGTCAAGGTGCTCACCCTATGTCCTGGTTTTCTACTTCAAATCTGTGGGACTCATCTTGGAAACCAATGTTGTGTACAAGACAGGACTGGCCTGGTTACCTGGAGCAGGAATCTAGAGAGTGGGAGTTGCCACCTGCCCTGGAAATAAAGGAGGAGGGGCTTTGGAGATAGACTATGGCAGACACATGGTTAGGGAAATTTCTATTCCTGCTTTTTCTCTCTTCACAACTATCCTGTTGCACTTGCTTGAGCCAGGGCAAAGTTTGAACAACTAAAATGACAATAATCCTTATTTTTGTTTTTTAGTCTTGTAGTTGGTTTATAATTTGTGTGTGTTTGTGTGTGTGCATCTGCTGTGCGGAGGATAAAACCACAAGGGTTGAGTACATGCTAGGTGAATAGTCTCCTGCTCAGCTCTCCCTCAGCTCTATGGAGAGCTGTAAGTTCTGTAAGTTCTCTGAGGCCAAATGTGCTCATCACTTTCATTGCTGAAGTCTCTATAGGAAAGAGGTGTAAATTTTATAAGGGCAGGGGATTGTTTTATTCAGTGTTGTGGCCTCAATACTTGGGAATTTCTTGGCACATGAAAAGGTGCCTGTTTTATTTGTTAGATGAATTTCTCCTTTGCCCATCCCATCCCTGAGCTTAAATATAGTTGTCACAGTGCTGTGCAAAGTCAGCTGTAGACACTGGGGCAGGGATTAAAGGCTCATATGGAAGGAAAACCCTTCAGTAGTTAATTTTGGTAGAAAAGATGCAAGGCAGATAGGTCCTATATGGATTCACCCGTTTTCCTTCTATGAATAATTTATGGGCCATGTGCTCTAAGGACTCAGTCCAGGTCTCTCCACTTTGTTACAGGAGAGAAAAGTTACAAGGAATAGGGGTTGGAACGTACCTGTAACCAGAGAAGCAGACTGTTCTACATAGTGACCTCCAGGTCAGCCTGGGACACATAGTGAGACCCTTAAAAAGCACACAAAAAAGTTGGGAAGAAACTTTTGTTCCCTTTGTGCTCCACAGCGTGGCACTAGAAAGAGTTCCCTAGATATTTTGTACTTTATGAGGTTGGTAGTTGGTATCTCCCATCCCAATATTTGCTTTAAAAAAATAGGTCAAAGGTACAGACAGGGTTATGGAAAAGGAGATAACTAGGTAGCCACATCTACTTTGGGCAGATGAATGAAAGAACTAGCCTCTTTTATAGCAACAGTCATGGTTTAGGACTAGACTCTTTCTGGTTTGTACAGACTTAGTCTGCGTATTCAAGAGAGAGTTAGAAACAAGGTAGTCTAACATCACCAACAAATGTTGGAGGCTCTCCATTTCATATTGTGGATTAGTCTAGCCAAAATCTCAACATCCTCTCTGTGTACCACATCCTTTTCTAACTAAGATTGAGGGATAGCTCATACCTGAAATAGTTCTAATAGATGCCATGGAACTTTCTTTGCTTGCAACCCTATGATGTCCATGGCAAAATGAAATGCCACCACATTAGGTGGTCTCTCCCATTTCTCTACAAGTTGACAGACTGGGGCTAGAGAGATGTCTTGGTAGTTAAGTGTACTTGCTGTTCCCTGGTCTTTACACCTGGGTTCAATTCCCCACACCCACATGACAACTGTTTTGTAATCCAGTTCCATGGATCTAGCACCCTCTTGTGGTCTCCACAGTGGTGCACATACACACAAACACACACATACACACACACATACACACAGAGGCAAAATACTTAAGACACTTAACATACAAATAAAAGGGTTTGGTTTTGGTTTTTTGAGACTGTTTCTCTAGTTGTCCTGGAACTAGCTCTTGTAAACCAGGCTAACCTCGAACTCACACAGATTCGCCTACCATTGCCTCCTGAGGGCTGGGATTAGAGGCGTGCACCACCACAAAGTGTCTGTTTGTTTTAAGGCAGGTTCTCACTACATCACTCTGGCTGGGCTAAATCTCCCTAGATAGACCTCCAACTCTCAGAGATCTGCCTGCCTCTGCTTCCAGAGTGCTGAAGTTAAGAGCATGTGCTACTGCTGTACCAGGCTAAAATAAACCTTCAAAGAAACATATTGGCCCATTAGAAAAGGAAAGAACCTCTGTGGGTTCAAGACAGAACACTAAGAAGGTACATTCATCTTTAGCCAATGGAGGACATAATCACACCCAATGGATGTTACACATTGACCAATGGGAAAGGAATCTATCAAGTACTGAACTCCTGTGGGCCAATGAGAAGGATGGTAGGGTCCCATATGGATCAATGGAGCCGGTATTTCCTAACAGGTAATAGGAAGTAACTCGTTTTAGGATAGGAGATCAATGGGTTGGTTATTGGGGTTAACTCAAAATAGCCATGTTCTAGGTACCTTCCCTCATCTCCCCACCCTCTTGAAAAGTCTTTGGTGTTGTCTGAGGAGAGAGGGCGTAAACTCCTCCACACGTGACCACCTGGACTGGAGTAAGACTGGAACTAGTGATGGTGCTACTGGTGGGGGAAGGGGATAAAGGACCCGCCCACCTCTCCGCCCCCCAGCCAAACTTGCAATTCCCCTCCCGACCGCAGGGGGCACTGCAGGCCCTGGGGAGGTTGGGGCGGAGCGCTGCGAGGGGCTGACAGCTGCTGCCCGGCTCCAGAGCGCTGGGGGCGCTGTGCGCGGCCCTGGCTGTGCCTCCGCTCCCGGCCACGGGGGGCGCTGCGCGGCGCCGGTGGTTGGTGGTGGCTGGTGGGGGGGTGGGGGGGAGCGGCGGCCGCGGGTGGTGCGGAGGGAGGCCTTGCGGGTGGATCGGGCGCTTGGCGGCGGAGGTGGTGGGAGGCGGCGGGCGGGAGCGCGGGTCCGGCCGGCCCTGGCGATGGCGGACGCGGCGGCCTCCCCGGTGGGCAAGCGGCTGTTGCTTCTGTTCTCGGACCCTGCGGCCTCAGCTTCGGCCTCGGCCCCCACGGCGGCGGCGGCAGTGAGCGGAGATCCTGGGCCTGCGCTGCGCACTCGGGCCTGGCGAGCCGGCACGGTGCGGGCCATGAGCGGGGCGGTGCCCCAGGACCTAGCGGTGAGTGGCGGCCGAGGCGGGCACGCGAGGCCGGGGCTGTGGGGCCTGTGGGCGGCCTCCCCGGGGGCCTTTGTGAGGGGGGTGGCGAGGCGGGGGTGACCCAGTTCCGCGCCCCCGGCTCTCCTGAGCGCCCCCCGCCGGCACCTCGGCGCCTGGGCACTCGGGCTCTGGCCGGCGTGGCTTCCGCGTCGCGGTGCGCGCCCCAGTTTCTCCTGGGGGGCGGCCGGGGTGCGAGGAAGCTGGTGCTGCTGCTTCTAGCCGGCAGGCCCCGCCTCCTGGGCGACCCTGCTCTGCGCACCCCCCCCCCCCCCCACGCCCTCAGAGCAGGCTCTCGAACCCTGGGTCCCCGGGCCCCGCAAAATTCATCTAGAAGACGCCGACCTGGAGTCCCCAGGCCGTCTCGGGGGACTCGCACCGGGTTCCCTTCCTCCCGCAGCCCTGAGCTCGGCCAGAATGTGGGTAGCTGCAGGAGGCTCAGAGGCTGCAGTTGGAGCTGCTTGGGGCTTTTTTTTTTTTTTTTTAAATCTGGCACTTACTTCCTCCTTGTTTGAGCAGGGCTCGGCCTGGCGGTCCCCAGAAAGGCCAGTTCTGTGGTCTGATTTCGAACGCCCTTCTTTTGGCGCTTCTGGGTGTCAGGAGCTGCTGTTTGAGCCTTTTGATAAGTTTGAGGTCTGTGCTGGTAGCCGAATGAGGCTATCGAGTGGTGGTTCTGCTTCTAACTCGGTTACTCCCCTAACCTTGAGAGGTTTTGCTTTGAAACTTTGTATTAGGGTTTGGCTGCTTGCCTCGGTATATTTTACCGTGAAAGTTGTTCCGTACATAGTTAAGTAGCGTTCGAGACCGTGAGCTTTTATTTTTGCTAATGTGGCGGCAAAATACTACCTTTGAGTTTCGTCAAGCCTCTTCAGTTCCTCATTCTGATAGCGGCCCTAGCTAGCCTCTCTGGTGAGCTAAAGCTATGAGAAATGGGCGGGAAGGGTATTTGGAATAATCTATTGATCAGTAAACAGAAAGTGAATATTCTCGATGGGCTTGATACCGCAGACATTTCATTCACCAAACAGGAACATATTTTGTGAGATTTAGGATTAATGTATCTGTCTGCTGCTGGTTTTGCATCCTAGGGATCAAGTGTTGGGCTTTCTAGTTGGTAAGCAACCTTTGGATTTTTTTTTTTTTTTTTGGCTAGTTTCTGGTTCAAGCTTTACCGCTCCTGGTTCTGTTTACTTGCTTTGATCATTCTCTGGGATGTATAAAGGAGGTTTGTTAGGGTATTGATGAAGCTCCAGCGGAGTGAATTTGTAAAAAGATACCACGACAATAAGATGGGGATTTGATCCTAAATTCCTCGGCCCTTTCTACAAAAGATGGGTAGGGTTCGATCGTGATGGTTTCTTTCTCATTCACTAATCCCCTCCCTCCCCCAAGCAAAGCATTTTTGAGATCTACCCATATGCGCATACTCTGACCTGAGGCATTGCCATTTCATTGGGATTTTACTTCCCAGTTCTTTGAATCGTTGTTTGTTTCTCTCCGTCAAATGAATTGAGCTCGTGAGCTCTGCACCTGAAATGGCTACCCAGTCGCTCTGTTGTTTGTTGATCTTCGTGATTGCAGAGTGCACTGAGTGCTGGACACCTACTAGGGCTAAATACTTAATAGTTTTACCACTTGGCCAGTGTAAGTGGGTTTTCCAACCAACTAAACACTTGCAGTGATTCTTGAAAAAAAGCAAGGTGTTCTTACAACTGTGTTGAAGGTCTATGGCGCAATGTAAACATAGAAGCAAAGGTAACTTTGGACTTGGTGAATAGATTTGTGCTTGTCTTACACTTTTATCCGGGAACATATATGAGAAAACAGTCACAACAAAACTCTGGGCCTTTTAGGTTTTTTTTTTTAACCTTCTTGCCGTACTGTTCTAGAATTGCAGTTACCTTGAGGTTTTGTTGAAGACGGTGACTAGTGAGAAATAAATGTGTATTTGCCGTTTGTTTTCCTTTTTCATTGACGAGAATGTCTTTGGACTCTGGGCATGTGGACCTTTCCAATTTGCACCACTCATTGTAGTAAACACAACTATCTTCCAATCAAAAGTGTTCTTCCTGTACTCAAGGGTGGAGTTTGCCAGCAACTGGCCTGTGATTGGGCAGATTTTCTTTCAGTTATGTTTAAGAGGTTTTCAGGCGTGCTTGGTTTTGAGTAATGCATAGCAGGGCGCCCCCTGTTAAGGATGAGTAATTAAGGGTTGGATGAATAGTTTCTGAACTGATTGAAAACACATTTCTCAATTTTAGGCTCCATTAATACCCTCTTTCTAAATACCTTTTGACCCAGAAATACTTGAGTATACTGGTGATACATTTAATGAACCTTTTTTTTCATTACCAATGCCATATCCTGCCTTAAGATATGTGTGGGGGAAAACATGAAAACCTTTACTCCATTCATTGGGAAATTTGTTGATGAGTGTTTTAAGAGTGGTTGTGTTCACCATCAAACTTCCTTTGACAAGCAGCTGCTGATTTTTTTATCCAGATACAAACCCAATTTTTCCCCTTTTTTCTCTTGGAATAGTGGCTTTTCGTTCAAAATAGGTCTTTTGTGTGTTTTTTTTTAAATATGTTGCAAGATTAGTGGATTTTGCGTTTATATTATTTCATAATGTAGTTGTACACTTTGAGTTCCAAAATCATTATTTGTCCATGTATGTTCCAGAGTCCTTGAGATATATATGTATAGATAAACAGATATATATGTATAGATAAACAGACAAAAATGCCGTGGATTTTCCTTTTAATTATAAAAGTACATCTGTTTACAGAATGTCAAACAAAGCTATAGACGTGAGAGCACAGCAGTCTTGACCTCTGTGGCTCCAGCTTACCAAGGAAGAATATGATTGTTTTTCCTTTAAAAAAATAAAAAAATACTGTACATGCAAAAAAATGAAAAGAAGGATAGGGTTGGAGCACAGTCAGTAGTGTTTGCCCAGCAAGCATAAGGGCCTAAGTTTAATTTCCACACTGCAGAAACTGGGCATGGTGGTGGGTACATACCTGTAAAATTCTTCTCTACAAAGAATTGCTTTTTTTTTTTTGAACAAATGCTATCTTACTGCACAATATCTGCTACTGGCTCTTTTTAAATAAACTTATTTTCGGTGTATGAGTGTTTTGCCTGCATGTATGTATGTGCATGCCTGGTGCTTGAGAAGATCCGAAGAGGGTGTTTAATCCTCTGGAACTGTACAGGTGACTGTGGGTACTGGGAGCAGAGTCTGGGTCCTCTGCACCAGCAGCCAGACCAGTGGTCCTAATCACTAAGCCATCTCTCCAGCCCTGCTTTCTTATTTTAATTGATGTATATATACCGCAGACATCAGTAGCTATCTATGTTGTAAACACTTTCCAACTCTCCTCAGCCCTTCCAGGGGCCTTATACATGCTAGGTGGGTACTGTACTACTCCCAAATTTTCATCATGTTTGTAACCCCTTCATATTTTATAGAATGAGTGTGCCATGATCTAGTTCTTAGTTTTTTTTCTCTTGGTGGACATCCACTTTATTTAAAAGTTTTTTGGAGGGACACTAACTATATTAATCTGTCCTTAGCACATTGTGTTTTGTGATCCAGGTTTCACTGTTGTATTTTAGGCATCCAAGAGTGAGATTGTTGAGATATGTGTACTTTTAGTTTATTAGGTAATACATGGTTATTTTCCACTCATTAAAATGTTTCATACTCCCACAAACAGTGCTATAGTTCTTGTTTTCCTTCATCTTTATTGTCAAGTGATGTCATCAGTATTTTAGTGTTGACAGTGAGAAAAAGTATCTAACGTTTTCATAACTACTGGTCTTTCTGGATGTATTTCCTCCTCTTCCATCCTAATTATGCATCTGATCACTTGAGAAATTAGTTAATTATGTTTTTATTCTGAGTTCTTTATGCAGTTATTAACTTTTTGAGACAGGGTGTCTTTGTTACAGCTCTGACTGTCCTGGAACTGGCTTTGTAGACCAAGCTGGCCTCAAACTCATTGAGATCCAACTGCCTCTGGTCCCAAGTGCTGGGATTAAAGGCCACTACTTCTGGGCTGGTTATTAACTTGTATTACCTCTCTAGTATATTGTAATCATTACTCTTTTGTTTGTTTTTGTTTTATGGGACAGGATTTCTCTGTGTAGCCTTGACTGTCCTGGAACTCACTTTGTAGATCAGGCTGACCTTAAATTCAGAGATGCTCCTGCTTCTGCCTCCCTAGGGCTAGGATTAAAGGCGTGTGCCACCACCACTAGGCTATAAATATTCTTTGTATTTTTATTTTAGTCCTTTTTTCTTTTTGAGATATTCCCACTATGTATGACTCCCTGTGTGCTTGGAACTCATTATGTAGACCAGGCTGGTGAACTCAAGAGCTAGCTGGTACTAAAGGCGCTTCCGCCACTCTTGGCTTGCTTTAATCTTTGGACCTCCCATTCACCTGATATTTTTTTCATTGAATATAATAAAATAGGCGATCTGATCTGTCCTTTCTTTTCTCAATTGTGGCACTACCAATTTTATGACGAAAGCTTTTGTTGTTACTGCAGTATGGTAGAATTAAATGGTGCTGTAAGTGTTGCATTGGGTTGTTTGGGCTATCACAGCTGTCTCAGCATTCCAGACTCTCAAGAAGGATTAAAGGGTATCTGCCTTAATGTTTTAATTTTAATCTTTTATTTCTGTTTCGGAGTATAAGAATAAAATATTCTCTTTGTTGTGATTTTTTTTTTTTTCAAGACAGGGTTTCTCTGTAGCTTTTAGGTTCCTGTCCTGGAACTAGCTCTTGTAGACCAGGCTGGCCTCGAACTCACAGAGATTCAATCCCTGCCTCCGAGTGCTGGGATTAAAGGCGTGCGCCACCACCGCCCAACTGTTGTGATTTGAGATAATAATTATAGCATTGTTCTGGCTAGTACCATATGATTTTTATCTGGAAGTCTATGAGGAATGA